TCTGGATGTTGTGGGGACCACAGAAGCTCTCTGCCCTCTTCCCTTCCAAGCCTGGCACACTCAATGCCAAAGGAATGCTGGCCACAGGTCTGACAGATAAAGGTCAGGCCAGGAATCAGAAATGTTTTATCACGATCCCAAAGTGGAGCCTCTGACATTTGAAATAGAAAAGTAAATAAGACAAGGAACTCAGAACCACAAGGCGAGCCACTAGAAGACTGCTGTTAAAAGATTAAGGGCAGGATGTACCCAGAATCTCCGTATTAGTAACGTCCATCTCGGAAGGCCACAGAATAAAAGGTGAAAAAGCTCGTAGTGTACTTTCTTTCCCTCCAAGTGCTGTTAAACTCTCCTGGCCATGCATAAAAGTTGGGCCTCTAAGGAAAGGGTGCCGGAGATGCCCCACAAACCACGGACATTTAGAGGGCCTTCTGAGGCCCAAAGGTCACGATGGACTTCCCTTGGACAGGAGGTAACTGCTCCTGCTAGCACTCCAGACCAGCGCTAACCAGCACAAACAGTCAGAGAGCTACACCTGTTATTTAAAACTTTCAAGTGGCTGCATTTTAAAGAGTAAAAGAGAAGTTGGTGGGATTATTGTAATAATGCATTTTATTTAGCTGCAATTTTAGAGCACACCCACATGTACCCATCTGTGGTCTCTGCAACCCAGTGTGCACTTCATACTTAGGCCACACCTCCAGTTGGACAAGCAGTGTCAGCAGTGCTGGGCACACATCCAGCTGCTGGCTGCTGCTCTGCCCCACCACCCCACCCCCACCTCCAGCTTCTCCCCTCCTGAACACACCCCAATTCAGGATGCTCCTCACCACACCCCTGTCTGGGGCACCCGTGGGTCCTGCTTTAAGTCCCAAGTGCAGTGTCTTTCCCTGGTCACTGGTCCCAGATCGAGAGTTGCCCTGCCTGAGTCTGAATCCATCTTTGCCACGCACAATGGGAGGAAGTCACTTAACATCTCCTTAGCCTCCATTTCCCGGTTTGATTTCCCCAGTGTTGTTGGAGAGAGAGGAGGTGACACTGGTGGAACACCATATCCTAATTCAACACCAGAAGGAGACTGGTGACACGATCCGCCTCCCCCCAGGTCCTGTATGCAACAAGAAAGCACATCCTCCTTTCACCCAGGACGTGCCATGCTCACCAACCTGTGTTTCAGCCCACCCAGGCAGAGGCACGTTCCCTCCCCTCGTCTCCACCTTGGAGCCCTCACACTCTCTCCCGTGCCCAGGAGCACTCTGGGGCTCGCAGAGGACGAGGTACTCACCTCCTGACTCCTCACTCAGTCCGAGACTCTCACCCCCAGCCTGCTGCTCCCCTGTGCATCCACCCAGGTGACTCCCAAAGTTCAAAATACAGTTGTGAAGCAAATAAACAAAGAGCCAGCAGCCCTGGGGTTCATGACAGTATTAACAGCATGCAAAGTAAGGAGAAAGGAGGCTTCTGTCTCCACGGCCCTGCCTGAGGTCCCACACCCTCCTCCACACATCCCCAGCTCTGCCTCTCACCACCCCAACCACAAAGTGGCTCCTGGAGTGCATCGAGGGACCCCGTCACAGAAAGGCACTGATTCTGGACCCACCCAGTAATGCGGAATGGAGAGCTCCAAAGGCCAGGGGAGACACACCCCTGCACCATCTACCCTGCCAGGCACAGACCTGGACTGGCCTCAGCTTCAGGAAAGGGTGTAACCAGGAGCACCGTCAGTCATCAGATCTCTCTTTCTGTCCCGGATAAAGGACAATGAGAGCAAAGGAAATTTACTTTATGAAAAAGAAACTTCTTGAAAAATCAAGGTGGTATAATAAAATGTTCATCTGTTTAAATGAAAGTGAATCTCAAATGAAGAGATCATTAATCCCTTTTATAAGAGCACTATATTCATTTCACTTTAACGAACCGTGACTGGTCCTCACACAAGTTTCTGCATCACAAACGAGAAACACTGCTTACTTCAAATTTTAAGAGAGGCTTTCTTACTTCCCCAAACAGGGCTCCCATACCCCGCCAACTCTTAGTTCTTCACAATACTTAGCCTACCTGGGGGAGGAAGAGGCTAAGGAGGCATGGGCCAGGGGGGCAGGCGGTGACCCCAGTCCCGCAGTTGTGCACTGTCCTCCTCCCACAGGGCCAGAGGGAGCCAGTGGCCACCACACTGCCCTGTCTTTTTCCTCCCTGACTCCCCCCAGCTGCCCCAATGTCCTGCGGGGTGCCAGACATGTCAGTTCAGTAAGCCCCACAATTAAACACCCATAGCAACCATGGGAAGCAATTTCATCAAGCCTACCCTGCTGCCCTGCAGATCAAGCTCCCAACAGCCAGTACCCTTTGGAAGCCTACCAGGTGGCGATGCGCTTCTGGCCCCGCTCTACTGAATGAAAATTGTTAAAGGCTGTGGTATCTCCTCAGCAGTCCATGAAATTGAGTTGAGCACCAGAGCCCAGGGCAATTAGTCATTGTAGGCACCACCTGGTGGCCCCTCCTGACCCTGTACAATCACAGGGCCTAGACCGTCACTCTAGAACCTGAGATGCCCCCACAGATATACAACAAGCCAGAAACATGCATAGCCTGCACCAGGACCTATGCTCAGCCAGTCTTTTCCTTAGTATCAGCCTGTCCTTCACCTGCAGTGCCACAGGTTGGTGTGATGGGCATCGGCCCTTTCCCTCCTCACAGCCTGTGCCACAGGAGCAGGTAACCCAAAGAGCTTGGTGCTCAGCCCAGCACATATCCACATGGTCTACCCCCAGGGATGCTAGGACCGAGCACAGGCTCCCAAGGCACTCATGGGTCTATGGACAGAGAAAGGGAGGTCCAGTCCTCAGCCTTCCTGCCCATTGCTGGCCATTCCAGTCCAGTGCCTCGACTCCAAGTAGAGGGGCTGAAAAATGTTCGGATGTTTCAGGAACATGACTGACTTCTGCCACAGGGAGAAGGTTAAAGAAATTGGTGGATAATTTAACTTTTTATCCTAACAAGACATCAAAGGAACACCACAAAGCTGAAGAGAAAGAAGTCCTTCCAACTGCCAAACATATAGGAAGGTCAATGGAGGTGGGGACAGCACTGTGAGGGTGAGAAGCCTGACACAAATGCAGTCGCCGAGGACCTCAGAGGGACACATGCAGGGGGGTGCTGTGCAGGAAGGTGCTATGCAGTAAGGTGCTGTGCAGTGGGGTGCTGTGTGTGGGGGTGCTGTGCAATGGGGTACTGTGCAGTGAGGGTGCTGTGCAGTAGGTGATGTGCAGTAAGGGCAATGTGCAGTGGGGGTGCTATGCAGTAGGGGTGTCATGCGGTAGGGTGATTTGCAGTGGGGGTACTATGCAAGGGGGTGCTGTGCAGGGGGGTGCTGTGCAGTGGGTGTTGTGCAGTGGGGGTGCTGTGCAGTGGAGGTTCTTGTGCAGCAGGGTGCTGTGCCATGGCGGTGCTATACAGTGGGGTGCTGTACAGGGGGGTGCTGTGCAGTGGGTGCTGTTCAGTGCAGATGCTGTGCAGTGCAGGTTCTTGTGCAGGGGGGTGCTGTACCATGAGGGTGCTGTGCAGGGGGGTGCTGTGCAGTGGGTGTTGTGCAGTGGGTGTTGTGCAGTAGGGTGCTGTGCAGTGGGAGGTTTGCAGTGGGGGTTTGTGCAGTGAGGGATGCATGCAGTGGGCACAGGTGTGATAGGGCCATGGGCACTGAACGGTGACACCCATGTTCGAAGCCCTGCTTTAGATGAGAGGTGGATAGTGGTCAGCAGAGAGAGTCCTCGCCCATGGAATTACAGTCAGCACTGCATGCTGCCAGCCAAGTGGCTTCTTAATCCTCAAAATGAGGCAGGTCAATAAGTGTAAAATATGTATCAGATTTGAAAAACTTTGTATACAAATATAAAATATCTCATTAATAACTTTATAGTGTATAGAGTTTGAGATAGTATTTTGAATAAATGTATTTAATGCAAATAGTGAATTTCAGTGTTTTCTATTTCTTTTAATTTTTTAGTAAGGGGTGCAAACATTTAAAAGGATGTCTATGTTTATATTAGGTACACGCCTCACATTGTATTTCTGTAGGACAGGGATACCCTGGGAAAGTAGGCAGACAGCAAGTAAACAAATAAAAACACATTCACGTTTATTAGGCAGTGATGAGAATCATAAAGACACTTGAGGCGAGGGACATCACAAATCAGCCCACAGGGAGACGTCCCTTCTGGACTCAGTCTCTGACGGCTGTGCGAAGGGAGAATGCAGGGTTCAGGGCAGGAGGACTAGGGTGCAGAGCAGTGAGTGCTGGCCTGGAAAGGGTGGGTAACAGTGTAGCCGAAGGAGGCAGAAAACCACCTTGCTCCTGGTGGAGCCACACCAGGCCTCATCTCTGCCACATGGCCGTTTCCCCCATGTGGGAGTTTCTGTTCTGCGGAGCTGCAGCAATGTTTCAAAAATGCTCCACAAGGAAGGACCAGCAGCAGAGGCAGCCTCCCAGCCTTAGTTTTCTCTCTGTTGAATGACAGGGATGTATAGCCAGGTGTGCCACCCCAGCCTGTGCCTGCGGGCTCCCCCAGGTCTTCAGCCCTGGTCCAATGTTGAACGGGTTCTAGCAGAACCCTGCATGCCTGTGAGTCTAGTTCTCCCAGAACCGTTTATCTCCTGCACTAGCATCTGTGCACCACTCTGCAGTGTCTGCTGATGGGGAGACTGGAGCCCAGAGGGAGCTCTACCCATATACACCGCCCCCATGGCCATGACAGGCTAGCGAACAGGCCCAGGGAGAGCTGCCCTGGCGACGGAAGTGCTTGGCTGCATTTCTGAGCTAACTTTGTGGTGCCACTGAGGGGAGGTGCCACACTGTGGGGAGGTGCCAGCCTTTCCACACACGGCAGGGCATTGCTCCTGGGGACAGTGTGGACTCACAGTGCTGAGACACTCAGCACACACAGGATGCCACAGCTCCAGTCTCCACACGGCCACCACGCCCACCAGGCTGCAGAGGCCCTCACCTGAGACGCTCTTCCTCCTTCTTGCGGAGAGTGAAGTCTCTCTGCACCACCTGGAGAACATGTTCCGTCTCGTCGTCTGTAAGACCGGACAGATCCAGCTTCCTCCCCATGGCTCAGTGCCAAATACAGGCGGTGGACGGAGACCTGGGAGACCAAGGCAGAGACCACAGTTGAGGGCAAGACAGAAGCCATGTCCATACACAGGCCCCCGGACCCCACACAGAAACAAACACAACTTTCCTTGAAGCTTCGCCAAAGGCCGCCTGCCCCCCACACGTGCATGGCTGCAGGAAAGGACCATAGCTGGTCATCTCCTAGCCCCGTCATCCCAACTCTGAGAAGAGACCAAGAAAACCAAAACTTTGGAAAAAATCACAAATCCTTTACAACAGAATGGGTCCCATGCCTCACTTCCTGTGGATCCTATCGCACACTGAAAAGTTATACCAGGAACTCATTTCTGTGCTTTGAAGTTTTAAATCACAAGTATTGTAAGTAATTACTAAATAAATTATAAGACTTCTTTTTAAAATACTAGGTATGCCATATCCCTTTAAGTTGTGATCATGTGACTATAAAATAATCAGCAGACAACTTCAGCTCTGTGGGGAAGACAGGTAGCAGGGGCAGCTGGGCCACATGCAATTTCCACTTTCAGTTCTCTGAGAAGTCTCCGCACTGATTTCCATAATGGTTGCACCCCTCTGCGTCCCCAGCTACAATGTAGCGGGCTCCTTTTAACCTTTTAACAGCCTTGCCCGCATTGGTTATTGTTTGATTTCCTAATGGTTGCCATTTCTGGAGTAAGATGGAATCTTATCGTTGTTTATATTTGCATTTCTTTAGTGGTCACAGATGCTGAACATTTGTTCTATATTTGTTAACCATTTTTATTTCTTCCTCTGTCATGTCTGTTTACTTCTCTAGCAAGTCTTGACTAAGTCTGTAATTTTAGGGGGTTTAATTTTTTTTTTGAGTTCTTTGTGTATTTCAGATATATTTCACATTTCCTCCATTTGAAGAGGAGCTGGGAAACTTTTTTCTCATCCTATGGGTTGTTTCATCATTCTACCGATGAATCTTTTGCTAAGTATCTTCCCCAAAATGTGCAAGTCATTATACTACATTGGTACTTGCATACCAATGTTTATAGAAGTACAATTTGCAATAGCTTAATCCTGGAAGCAGCCTGTGTGCTCATCAACAGATGACTTGATAAACAAAATGCAGAATCCATATATAGTGGAATGTTGCTCAGCTATAAAGAATGACAAATTTGAGGCTTTTGTAAGGAAATGGGTACACCTGGAAAATAATGTTGAGTGAAATAAATCAGATACACAAGCTTGAATACCACATGGTATCTCTCATTTGACTGAGGTAAAGTACAAAGGAAGAAAATGATAAAGGATGGACAGAAGGAGACAGGGGCACAGACCTCATCCAACAGGGAAAGGGTCCAAGGGAACAAGGGGGGGGGGTGAGGAGGAGGGGAAGGGGAAATGAGAGAATAATGATTTGCCATGTATAGGACCCTAATAACTCCAATCAGTATAAATCAATGGTTAAGCCCTAACATGTGCTAAGCAAACAGTATCAATAGGTAGGAAAAGGTGACAGGGAACCAGAGGATTATTGGGGCAGGGTGAGGGTACAGGGCAGTGGAGCAGAAGGAGGCACAGGAAAAGTCCAAGCTGTACTATGTACATGTAGCCACTTTCCAAATGACTGCAAGGTGCATAAATTACAAACAGGTATTAATTAAATAAAAATATTGCAATGTAAAGCAAAAGAATCAATAGATTCTCTTCTCTAAGAGGAAAAATGTACAGTAAAATGATTTTACTTAGCCATTCTCTCAGCAGTAAGAAAGTCTGTATTGCAGATAAATAATTCCCAGTAGCAAACATCTAAAAATTATGGGGAAAAAATTTCTCCTTTTGGTCCTTAAAATTAGACCCAAACCACACACTTGCTAAGGAGATCCACCACTGAACTATACCCCTGCCCAGAAAATCCTGTCCTGCAATTTTCAGCCAGGCATGGGGTTTCACACCCATAATCTCAGCTCGTGAGGAAGGTGAGGCAGGAGGGTCATGAGCTCCAGCTCAGTCTGGGAGAGATCCTGTTTCAAAATAATTTTTTAAAAGTAGATAAAAAGTGTTGGAAATAGCTCAGTGCAAAAGGCCTGGATTCAATCCCCAGTACCAGGAGAGGGGTTAAGGATTTTAAGGAATACTTTGCCTAGGGATAAAATCAAATAAATAATTCCAGAAAGTTCCTTGGGATTGAAGACCGACTTAAACATGGATGCCAACAACCTTCACTGAATATCTGCAAAGCCAATTCAGCAAGATATTAAAAGGATTCGCATCATGTCAAGGGAGGCTCTTTCTAAGTAACTGGTTTCTCATCATTCAAGAATAAATCTGTATCATTCACACATGAATGCATTAAACGGGAGATGAGTCCTAGATCACTTCCATTGACGCAGGAAAGGCATTTCATGAATTCAATCCCCGCTCACACCAGCCACTCTCTACAAGAACACATGCTTAATGCCATCCATGGCATTTGCAAAAGTGCTCACTGACTCAAGGCTGAGTCCTTTCTGAGATCAGGACAAGACCCAGATACTCATTCCCACCTGAGCTCAGCACTGAATGCCCTGACTGTGAAGCCGCGTTTGTCCAGACTGAGCGGCCCTCGAAATGCATATGGATCAACTACTGCTCTTCCAGAAACAACAGAATTTTATTTTCCATGGGTCTAGCAGGTTTCTGGAAGCTGCTCCCCTTCATGGCCCAGCACCCTGGCTGGGGCGGGAGTGGCAGCCCCAAAACTCTCCAAGATGCCTGCAGAGCTTCTCGTCCATTCCCTTGATAAACAACGCCCAGCAGCTCTGCACCCTGTGGCTGAGTCCAAGTGGCCACATTCTTGGCCTTGTGTCTGAACTCCTTTTTCCTTCCTTCAGTACCTGATGTGTCCAGGCTATGAATCTTCCAAATCAATGACTCCTTCCTCTTTGATTACAAGTCTCCAATTCAGTTCATTGCTGTCTTCACGTTTTATAATAGCAGGCACGGGAAGCCACGTGGTACCCACCAGCACTCCACATAGGGATTCTCTCTGCCAAACCTCCCACAAGGTATCAGCATACGGAAACAGCTCAGCCAAGTTCTTGCTGCTTTAAAACAAGGCCAGGAATTTGGTGCTGGGCAGTCAGGAGATGATGAATTGGATCTAGACGTTACACCATGTGCAACAAAAGAAAAGCAGACTCTTTCACTTCTGTGCTGGGGATGGAGCCCAGTGGTGGAGCACCTGCCTCGCATGCACAAGCCCTGGGTTTAATCCCCAGTGCCACCAAAAAAACTCAAAGACACCCCGCACAAAAACCAATTTCAAAGTAAAATGACAATCCAAAAATGGAGAACAAACATTTGCAGCACATAAAATTTACAATATTATATTTAGCTTATGAAAAAAGTCCTACAATTAATCAAGAAAAGATAGCAACTGATAGAAAAAATGAGCAAAAGATATGAACAGCCATCATACACGTGGGACAAAAAAGCTGAATAAGCCTATGGAATGATGCTTAACTTCCTTGGTGATCACAGAACTAAATTAAAACCACCTTCCACAGCCAGTGCTGTGGTCTGAATGTCCCTTAAGGCCCTGAATGTCCCTTAAGGCTTGGTTGCCAGCCTGAGGCACTTCAGGGTGAGGAGTGGTGTGGAAGACTCTGCAGGCACCTGGTGGCAGGAAGTGAGGTCACTGGGAGCGTGGAAGACAGTGTTTTCCTGTCTCTCTTTCCATCCTGGCTGTCAGGAAGGTGCATCTTCCTCCACCATGCACTCCAACCTGACATTCTGCTTCACACAGGCCGCAAGGAGACAGAGCTCAGCACCGAGGGTTGAGCCTGTGACACCACGAATCAGAGCAAACCTCTCCTAACGCGCAGTCATCTCAGGTGTCCCCTCATGCGGAAGGCAAGCTGAGATGCCAGCAAATAAAACATCTACCGAATGCTGCAAGGAGGTGGACAAGAGGCTTCCCCAGAGGGGCCTAAACTGGTACAATCTGTTTGTGACTTAATCATCTTTCATTTAACAGCTGAAGATGCATGGATCCACCTCATAGAGGTGTTTCCTCAGACACAACCTTGTAAATATACACCAAGAGATGGGGATTGGGTTGAATTACATGAAAACTATAAGTTGGGACTGTTTTCATGTATAAAATGGCAATTCCACACAGTTCAACCTAACAGAAGACTATTAGTAGAATCATACTCAAACCAGCAGGAGATAAAGTAAATAAAACTTGCAAATCATCTCACACATCCACAAAGAGAAGACAGATAACTAAAACAGGCACGTTTACTTATGCAGCACTCCGCCACCATGACGAAGAGTACACAAAGGCTGCACTCGCCGCCTGGATGAGCCCCGGCATTGTATTGGGAGACACAGATGCACACCACAGGTATGCACGCACGGCTGCTCTCACACAGAGGTCAAAAGCACACAAAGACAAAGACCATATTTTCTAAGAAAAGTTGTGCCAAACTGTAGAGGAAAGCGGTGCCCGGAGAGGAGGGAGACTCAGCAGGGGACAACCTCATAGGAGCAAGGAGCTGACTGTCAGTTGTGGTCCGTCCCGGGAGAGATGGCACTAGGGCTGCCACTTTTGCTTATTAGTAGAAGGGGCAAGTCAAGTATATTTTTGTCTGTAGGTATCTTCTGTAAGTACAAAAAATAACATACACCGCAAACAAAACATAAGTAATATAATCCATATAGTGATAGGGAAAGGAAACATTGGAAACACTGGCGAGTACGCTGAGGGTTCTAATAAAAATAATAATGACTTAATAGGTCGATTGATTATTGATCAAATATGCACTATGTCTCATCTCTACCACCACCCAGAGATGAAAAATGTGCCTTGGACAGAGCCACCTGAGCACGGCCGTGTCTCAGCAGACCTGGAGCCAGGCTCCACCTTCTTCTGAGAGGAAACTGTGGACCTTGGGTTTGAAACTTGAGCTTCCCAGTTCCCTGGCCTCTTTCAAACATGTAATAACTAGGAAGAAAGATCTCATTAACCACTGTTAGTGTTTAAAGGTTATTGTCCTT